TTTTCTGGATTGTAGCAAATATTTAGAACTTGATCAATAGGCTAAACCACAGTAGCTGCCACACTAAGATAAATCCATTTTGAAACCTAACCCAAAATTTTGTTTGAAGGTAGAAATGGAAGGGAAAAAGTGTGGGGTAGGAAGGAGAAGGGGCTTGTTGAGATGTAAAGGTGAATTTCCTCTGAATAATCTGACAAAGAGCCAACTGAGGTGAATCTGGCCTCACTCTCATACACATATAAATAACTGCATGTCTCCTGGGTTCTACCAAGTATCTCCAATGCACCCCACACTTTAGCCACCACCATTACTGTCACCATCACCTATAGCTTCCCTCACACTTATAGCTTCATTTCCACTCAGCCACAACCTCCAACCATCCCACCCTCACCAGAAAACACACAATCTAAGCTTAAACCCAGGAAACTGCTCTGAAAATAAAGCTCCTGGCAAATCACTCCAGCCACACCATCACTCTGCAGCCCTTCTATAGAAATCCCACACATACTATTAGCCTAATTTCCACCTAATGCAAAACAAACATTTTAAACGTCAAGATTTTATTCAAACTTGTACTAAAAACAATGGAAATACATATTGCATAGGTAACAACTACCATTTCAGATCCCCAGAAGAGGTCAGTATGTTCTTGAAGCTCAGGATGTCAGAGAAGCCAGCACCACTCACTCCCCACCAGTATTTGCAGACCATCTGTCTGGAACTGTTTCCCTATACCAAACTCTCTTCTGAAATTCATGCCATTAATTTTGCTTACTTATTATGTAAAGTCTTCCTGGATACTGTCCCCTAGAAAAAGTTCTCCTTTGTAAGTGTCATGCTATTTAACTTTTTTTTTTTTTAAAGAAAGGGAGAAGGCAGGGAGGGACAGAGGGAGAGAGAGAATCTTAAGCAGATTTCATGCCCAGCTCAGAGCCTAATGTGGGGCTCGATCTCACAAACCCTGAGACCTAAAATCAAGACACAGACATTTAACTGATTGAGCCACCCTGACACCCCTCATGCTATTTAACTTTTTAGAGCCAGACGACAAATTCACAAGTGGATAGGATATATTTATAATGCAAATTCCTACAACTTAAACCCCAATTGGCCATTTCTGTTCACAGGCTTGTTGGTTTATGTGGGAGTGGCAAGCAAGAGAATAATAATATCGGTGCTAAGGAAGTAGGGGAAAAATGAAAATACAGATATATGGAAATAAGATCCCAAAAAATGACTACAGAATAATGTCCTTGGAGTAATGTGGGGGGGGGGGGTGTCTTCCTAAGTAAAACTAAGTCTTAAGTAGCAGAAGCACATTCAGTGCTAAGAACCTAGTCCAACTGGAGATACATACATTATTTTCAACAGAAAACCCCAGAGTGTTCAAAACATAAACTTACACCTTTTGGAGAATTACTCATGGTCTTCTATTAGAAAAAGCCACCAGCCTGTTTATAACAGCATCACCTACAATAGCCAAATTATGGAAAGAAACCAAGTGTCCATCAACAGATGATGGATAAAGAAGATATATAGACAATGGAATATTATCCAGCCTTCAAAAAGAATGAAATCTTGCTATTTGCAAAGACTTGGATAGAGCTAGAGAGTATTATACTAAGAGAAATAAGTCAGTCAGAGAAAGACAAATATCATATGATTTCACTCATATGTAGAACCTAAGAAACAAAGCAAACGAACAAAGGGAAAAGAGAGAGAGAAATCAAGAAACAGACTCTCACTTACAGAAAACACACTGCTGGTTACCAGAGGGGAGGCAGGTGAGGGATGGAGGAAACAGATGATGGGGATTAAGGAGTGCACCTGTCCTGATGAGCACCAGGGGATGTAGGGAAGTGTTGAATCACTATATTGTACACCTGAAACTAATATTACACTGTAAACTAAAAACAAACAAAAAAACAAAAAAGAAGAGGAAAAAGACAATAAGGCTAGCAGGAATGAAACATACTCTCAGGATTAAGAACCTTCTCATCCTCCACTGAACCCTTTCATTTCCAGGCAAGTGCAAGTTTAACAAAAATACACCTATGCCCAAGTAAGACTTTTGACTTGCTAAAGCTTTTGGTAGATAATTTTCTGATTTATAATTAGCCACATGTTTCTGTAACATGTATCAAGAATGCCTTGCACAGGACAGCCCGGGTGGCTCAGCAGTTTAGCGCCACCTTCAGCCCAGGGTGTAGTCCTGGAGACCTGGAATCCAGTCCTATGTCAGGCTCCCTGCATGGAGCCTGCTTCTCCCTCTGCCTGTGTCTCTGCCTCTGTCTCTCTCTCTCTCATAAAGAAACTCTTTTAAAAAAAGAATGCCTTGCACATAGTAAGCCTGCAAAAATGATAGAAAAGGTCTGTTTAATAAGTGAATTCACTAACTTCTCAGGTGGCCAAGAAGCTTCATAACAAAAGACTAATTGTAAGGGACATTTGGAAATCTAAATTAAAAAAAGACCATTTGTCTGAAATCTAAGTATTAAAAGCATAACAAGATATAAAACAATTTTGAAAATTACTGAAACCAGGTGATGGAGACATGAATATTCATTAAACTAATCTCTCTACTTTTGTGTATGTTTGGAAAAGTCCATAATCAAAAAGTCAAAAAAATTATGATCTAAACAAATTTAGAAAAGTTCTCAGAATTCCTTCTGCCCTAAGTGACAGTGGAATGAGCTAACATATAAGGTTAGCACATCTAATACCTGCATAGAACCTGAATGAATATAAATGAAGGGGACCAAAAGCAAAACATAAAATACAACTTTCTTCTTTGAGGCCAGGTAAAGCCAGCCTTCTGCAAAGCATAAATTAAAAAATTAGTGCATGAGTCTGAGAAAGGCAGGGCAGCCTGGACTGATGCCCGACAGTCTGTATATATGACAGCAACAGCTGTGGGCAGTACACCCTGTACAGCCCACTTCTTTCTGGTGATTCTATGCCACTAGGACTGGTAGAGAGACAGCACATAGGAATAAAATCCTCTGTCCAAGAGTCACTACCCACTTCCAATGCATTTGTGGTGACCTGCACCATCACACACTTGAAATGTTAACAGCTCAGCAGCTCATCCCTGAGGTGCACAGGATACCAATTAGTTTAATATTAAACTATTCCATTTTTTAAAAGATTTTATTTATTTGAGAAAGAGAGAGAGAGCAGCAGAGGGAGAGACAAGTAGACTCCCCACAGAGCAGGGAGCCCAATGCGGGGCTCAATCCCAGGACCCTGAGATCATGACCTGAGCCAAAGGCAGACGCTTAACCCACTGAACCTCCTAGGCACCCCAAGACTATTTTATTAAAAAAAAAATGGTGACAAAGAAGAAGATGAGGAGAAAAGAAGGAGGAGGAGGAAAGTGATCTATTTTAAGGACATATGTATAAACAGAAAGGTAACTATAATTTGTAAAATATTAACAAAACTTTTACAAGGAAGAACAGGAGTCATTGGTTAATATTGCTTTAACCTAGATTTTAAGGCAGAAATCAGACACCTGAGTCCACTTCTCAAAAATCTCAAAGATGTCTATGTTCTACTTTTGTGACCATAACAAATACAACTATGTGAGGAAAAAGGATGGCATATTATTAAAACTTTGTCTACTTATTCACAATGACAGAATTTTCCCCTCCACAGCACAGAAAAAATTTCACTGTAAGATATATGAATTCAACATTTTTTAAAAAGAAATAAGAAAGTAATTCCACATGTTACACTGAAAAAGTCTTTTTAAATATTTTCCATAAATACTAAGAACACCAGTAACTACCACCTGAACAATTTCTAACAATGGCATATTTTTACCTTTCGAGGGGCATAACTGTATTGTGTCCAACATCAGAAGCACTTGTGTGTACTGCAGACATGCTCCTGCCAAAGGCTATAGTTTTCAGAAGGATGTGAAACACATGAGAAACTTCTCCTATATATTATAAGGAACCACTGTCTTTCAAAATCAGTTTTAAAGTGGAGACAAACCAGAATTTAATGCTAAGTGATATTACCAGAATATCATAAAAACATATCCTGAAGAACAAAAATACATTTGGAAAAAACAAGAATAAACCTCTAGCAATCACACTAATCACATTTAAATTCTTAGAAAATAGGCAGGTTACAAAACATGCTTGAAAAATATTCATGGGTTAAGTATGTCAGTGGATGTGCACTTGTGAATTGTAATACCAGTGACAAAGTCACCCTCAAAAGTAAAATTTTACTTGTTATTAGAATGTGATCAGTATTTAAGCAAACCCAAATGCACAATACAGGAAAGCAAGAACAGTAAGCCTAACAGCAGTGGGGATGCATCTGATCCTCTGACCTACCCCAGGGTGCACAGCAAGGATCAGCCAGCACGTTCTGTCTCCCTAGGCCCAAACAAACCCCCAGAATCATCTCCAAACAGAGCATGTCAGGTAGCAACTACCAAGAGACCACACAAAAAATATTAAATTAAACCTATTTTCTAACCCTCGTCTAGGATTTTAGGGACTTGAAACATTTAAATAGATGTTTAGACAATTATTTTTAAATCAGAAATGGTTGTATTTTCATATTATCAAGAATTCACATAATCAAGAAACGGATTCCAATGTAGTTTTCACTTCAAAGACCAAGATCCATCACTGACACACCACCACAAAACGACATGCAATGGCAACCTTAAAAATCCATTAGTATGAAACAAAGGAATGTGCTGTTTTCTTTGAAGAAAAGAAAGCATACTCTTGACACTATGATAACAAGCTTTGCATGCTGATGATGAACATACACAGGCCATGAATAATAGTACTGACAAAACAGAAAAAGGAATACCCTTTCCAACAGAAGCAGTAACTTCCCTCATTCTCTACTCATTAAGGTAGGAGAGTGACTTAAGGCATGAATGCTACTGGATTTTTATGGATCAACAACAAAATAAGACGTAAAGGGATAATTTATGGCATAAACAAAGATACCAAACACTTAACACTTACTTTTGCAAAAGCTTCAAAGATGTCAAAGGAAGGTGGCAGCTGAGAAGCATCCTGGATTTCTTCTCTCATGAAATGTTGAAATGTCATTACAAGTTGCCTGAGGCCATCTTTCTTATCTTCAGTCAGTTTGTTAATATCTTTTTTAAAGAGAAAATAAATAATAGCACAATCACACAGTGAATTTTTAATGGGTAATGTTCAGGTGTTCAATGGTAGCTGTTCAATGAGACTTTTCCTCTCCAGATTTCATTCTAACAGAGAGCAAATACATTTCTTTTTATTTTCTCACAACTACAAATTACAATACATACATTATCAATTAAATTGTACCAAACTTCATCTACAAGATCAAATACCTATCAAAACAAAATAAATACACATACAGACAAAAAACACTGCAACCAAAATCAATAAAGATGTGTGTTACAGGTCCTCCACTTCACCATGTACACACTTTCAAGCCATCACAAATGCTGAAAGTCAGTGAATTTAAGCAGATCTTTTTCATGAAACAATTTACAACCATGTTATGACCAACTGATAAACAGCGTATCTCAAAGGCAAAAAAAAAAAAAGAAAGAAAGAAAGAAAGAAAGAAAGAAAAGAAAAGAAAAATAATAAAAAGGTCAGCTAGAGTTCAACTGGTGAATGTATCACACAAAAAGTACATGGAAAAGAACACGGGGACCAACCAAAAAAATCTGGACTTCAAGTTATTTCCACATCGAATAAACAAGATGTGGTGCTGCTAAAACCCAAACAGAAAGAGAAGGTTCCAGAGCCTAGTTGTCAAAAAATCACCTCCTGGAAAACTCAGTTTAATTTATACCACAGAAAGGTGTTAAGTTTAAGAGTATACAATCATAGCATTTGAGAACATTTCACTTAAGGCAGCAGGTATGCCACCACCACTGAGCAGGGCTACTATTAACAGTAAAACTCACTGCAAGAGATGTTAATTACCTAGCAGTAACAGAACACACACAAAAAAAGACTAATTAGTTCTCTATTAAAACTGAAAAGATACATCAAGTTGAACTACAGCATAATTCTGGGGCTCATGTCAGGTCTAAATATTCTCTTTAAATTAATTGTTCAACAGAACAATTAACCCAATGATTTCCTAAATAATAATTTATTATCATTGGCACTTAGGATCCCATAACCATAAATCTGTACTAGATCATCTTCTTAGTTTTCTCCGCCCAGAAATATTAAACTGTGTCGCAAAATTTACTCTATGAGCTCTGGCTACTTTGGGGTTGAAATCATCAACAACCTCACTGAAGGGAATCTGTGCTAGTGGAAAAGGAACATGCACCCCGCATTTACTGAACACTCATATGTGGAGGGCCTGTCAGTGTTGCCAAGTATCATGGCCACCACCATGGTAGCAGAAAAGAAGAATAATGCTCAATCAGACAGCCCAAATCACCCATACCATCTACTTTGCTTATTATCTAAAGGATTAATGAATCTAAATGTTCCCTACAACCCTCTTGTTCACATCACTATTCCTGGCATCAAAAAGAAACAAAGAGTAGGTTATAGTATTTTACAAACTCCTAAACAGCCAAAGCTACCCTGGAATCAATTGAATAAGCTAATGTGTCAATGGTATATAAAAACATGAAAAGTTTGGTTAGATTTACCTCAAATAATGAGACAGCACAACAATGGTAAAGAGAGAGCAATGCATAAGGTCAGCAAATAAATGACAGGATTTTTTTGGTGCTGACAGACGATCACTTACTTGACTCCAGATCATAAAATGAGTAAAGTTTCTCCGATTCAGAGGGTGTTTCTTCCATCTGTGAAGAAAAGGGGGAAAACACCAAAAACAATTTCAAGTGCTCCAAAATATAAATGAATATATTTGAACCTCTTTAGATATTTAAATGAAAGTCTATTTAAAAAGACAACATTCTATATATTCCTCCTCTTCATCTCTTAGAGTTGAATTATTCAATCAATAACAATTTTAAAATAAAATCTAAGTTGTAACTTAACCCAGTTTAATTTCCAAATGCAAAATTCTTTTACAAGAAGTTTTCATACTATTACTTTTTCCCCAGCTCTACCCACAGACTCATATCACTGTAAGGATTTGACTATAGAAAAGCAGATTACCGAAAAGCAGAGATGGATGAATAAAAATAAGAATTCATTACAAACTGTGCAACCTTTACCGAGTTACCTTAATGAAGATGTGTCTATTTCCTTATCTAAAACATAGGAGTAATCATAGCACCTGATTCCAAAAAAAAAAAAAATCAGCCTCAAATATAATGATCATATTTTAATGCCTAGTAATTAAAAATGTATAACAAAGTTGATCGAATTTCTTAATGCTTTGAAATAAATTTGTAATTTTTAGTTCAATACAATATATATTTGCAAACAGTAGCTAAATATATGATAGATGTTATATATTCAGTCCAAAGACAATGCCCATTTGGTATTACACATCCATTTTTTAAAAATTGAAGCAAATTGACATATAACATTATGTTAGGTTTACATGTAAAAACATTTTACATTCTTACAACTCTCTATAGAATTTTATAGTTCCTCCACCCAAAAGCAGGTCAGACAGAGCTGGATACTGAAATAATTTGAGAAAAAGATATTCATGTAAAAGCCTGGTAAAAAAGAAGTCTGGAGGGTATCGCCACAGGTTTACTTCACAGAACCCAGTGGCTGTTTAGGCAGAATAGGGGGAAAGGACTGAAGAAACAATTTCAATGAAACATGGCAGCACTCTTCCATGTATGATTAATTGTCATCTAATTAAAGCCTCACTTCAAGAAGCAACCAAAAAGTGATACACCTGCCCTGTGCATTAGTTCATGGTCAAAAAGTAATGAAGGCAACTTAACAGACATTTCTGATATCTCACGCCTTCAATACAGGACCTTATGTTTCTAAGGTTATGATTACACATGCAGGGCCCTGTACTGTCTCACCACCACTGATACTGAGATTAATAGGGAAATGGCTGGGTTTTGTATTAAGATAGTCCCAGGAATAATCTACCTTCTACCTTCATGTGTATTTAATGTTAGCAGTAATAATACGAGGAGCCTGGGGGGCTCAGTCAGTTGAGTGCCTGACTTAATTTCAGTTCAGGTCATGATCTCAGAGTCGTGAGATTGAGCCACAGGTCAGGCTCAGACTCAGAGAGTCTGCTTGAGAATGCTTCTTCCCTCTCCCTCCACCCCTTCCCCCACACTCACACAATAAATAAATAAATAAATAAATAAATAAATAAATAAATAAATAAATAAATAAAATCTTTTGAAAAAAAAATATGAGCAGTACATACAACTGCAAGTGCCTTGATTAAATAAAACCCAAGCATATCACGAGTTTTATACTCACCAGTTTGAAAACAACTCTGCCAAGCAGTCGAACGGAATCCGGGGGATACCTGGGTTTGCAGCTTTTAAGGCATTTGCATTCTCGCTTGTGGTCCGGCCAAGCTTTTTTCTGATAAGACAAGAGTGGGGACAGCACAAGTGACATAAAAATGTAACTTTCATTTATACCGGTTTTGGATGAGGAAAGTCATCAACATTAATTTAATTTCAACAGCCTAAATATAAGTACAAAATAGAAAATGAAAGCAATATTCTAATACTACTAGAAATGCAGAATCCAGTCTTTGCCAAGCATGTAATTACCAGGTGTGGACATTGATGCCTCTCCTCCACCTCTGCCCTTTAATTTACCCCATGGTTATTACCTGGCTGGTGGAGTCCAAATGAAGAATCATTATGGCTTACTTAATAATTTATTACATAGTCTCTTAGCTGATTAAATAAGATTCAATAATAGTAATTTTGAATACAAAAAGAAAATATCACACCAAATTAGAAAACAAGCACATGGTTCAGGAAAATCAAAACAGGGCAGAAAGCCTTCTGAATTTCTATGCTGCTATAGAGAGTACAGAGGTATCAAGAGCTAACATAACAATATGAAACCTTTTGTTTTTGAAGATCACACAGAAAGGGGTGATTAACTAAAATGACCAAATGTCATTTGCCCAGTACTGCTGTGGTTTATTTATGTCACCCCGGCCTAATCATTAATAATAACCCTTTTGTTCCAGAAAGTGTGCTTTGGACGATAAATTATAGGGTCACTTAACCCATGATCCCACCCCTGTGCTAGTGTGGCTGAAAGACCAGTGAGCCAGGATTGTTACCAATCCTGTAACAATGAGAAGAGAGGACAGCAGGGAGGACACTGTCTCCCTGAATCTTGGAGTCAGAAAGATTGCTGAAAGATGGCTCCTTCACATAGAATTACTTCTATAGAAAAATCCAATCCAGAGTATCTAAGACTTAACCCTGGTGAATGGGGAACAGCTCAACCAAATGTCTGATATGTCTAATCCAACCGAAAGCTGGAAGTTCTATCACTGAAATGCCTGACACTCTCTTGCTTCAAAAATTGTAAATCTGCCTCCCAACTTCTGACCTTATAAAATCCCTCCACAAGGAACTCTCTTTTCCACCCGTAGCACAAATATGCACTGCAACCAAAAATTTCAAAACCGGGGGCACCTCGGTGGTCCAATCGATTAAGTATCTGGGGTCATGATCTTAGGGTCCTGGGATCAAACCCCACATTGGGCTCTCAACTCAGTGGGGAGTTAGCTTGTCCCTCTGTCTGTCCCCCTGCCCTCGTGTGTGCACATGTATGTGCCCCCCTCAAATAAATAATTTTTTTTAAAAAAATTAAAAACTGCTGGAGCTACTTTGAAACTGTGACTTGAATTCAAGCTCAAGCCAGCATTTCATCAGAAAGACTCCTGAGTTGAGTTGCTGAGTGAAGGTGTGGCTTATCTGCCATTTCCTATGAACCCAATCTTGAAGACACTGTCTGCAAAGGGCACATCATTTTTCTTATCAACTCTACCCACGACTCTCTCACTTCATTTCTTCTTATTCACTACAGCGATGCTCTTAATGTGATGTTTGTAATCTTTTTTTTTTTTAGTATTTACACTTCACTCACTTCTAAACAAGACTCATTTGCTTCAAAATAAAGATGTATATGAAATATGTTTGTAAAATTAGAAACGGAAAAAATGTTAAAGTTATAAAAAAATAGTCTTCTAGCATTCACTTAGCATCCTACAGTATGTTAGACACACGGCTAAATAATTTAAAAAGTGTATTTAACTTGACTTTCATAATAATGCAAACAGTAGATATTATCCTTACTTTAAAGATGAATAAAGAAAGGCTGGGTGGGATCTCACCACCAAGGTACATAAACATAAAGGAGGAGAGTAAAGATTCTTAGTATTCTACGCAGGAGAGCTAAGTAATTGCCATGTCTGTGCACTACATTTATCTAACTTGCCTTACAGGCAAGGCAAAAAATAAAGCATAATGGCTTATATAATCCTCATTGACATAAAAGAAAAACACATAGCTTTACTAAGTATTAAATCACAGGAGGAATTTATTCCAAGAATGCTAATCAACATATTGGACAATTCTAATCGCTTTCATAGAGCTACTTCTAATGTCAGTATTCACTAAAAGGCATACTATTAAACTATAAGTCAGTGAAAGACAATGTTTCTACTGTTTAGGGGGCTAGTCTTAGACCAGCAAATTAGCAATTTATCAATATATGTAAGATCACTTTTAAAAAATATGGTTCCAGGCAGCCTGGATGGCTCAGCAGTTTAGCACCACCTTCAGCCCAGGGTGTGATCCTGGAGACTCAGGATTGAGTCCCATGTCAGGCTCCCTGTATGGAGCCTGCTTCTCCCCCTGCCTGTGTCTCTGCCTCTCTCTCGATCTGTCTCTCATAAATAAATAAATAAAAATCTTTAAAAAATAATATGGTTCCATTGTCAAATAAGTTTGAAAAATGCTACATAATAAACACCCTGATTAGAGATTTGAAGTAATTTCATTTGCTAAAAAGCTCTGCATTAAGGAAACTTATATAACTTAGTTAACACAGTTTCCCATGATTTTTATTGCCATCCTTTAGAAAATGAGGTTGGTATATATGGACTCAGATAGAACTTCATACTTTGTTTCCTTCATCTGATTTTTCCATAAGAGTGGGTTTAGCAGACAAATTCACAATCTTTCACACTAATATTTTTTATTTCTGATGGAAAGGAAAACCACAACTTTGGTATTAAAAGTTGAGAAGACCCACAGCAAATATCATTCTCAATGGGGAAGCACTGGGAGCCTTTCCCCTAAGATCAGGAACAAGACAGGGATGTCCACTCTCACCACTGCTATTCAACATAGTACTGGAAGTCCTAGCCTCAGCAATCAGACAACAAAAAGACATTAAAGGCATTCAAATTGGCAAAAAAGAAGTCAAACTCTCCCTCTTCACCAATGACATGATACTCTACATAGAAAACCCCAAAATCTCCACCCCAAGATTGCTAGAACTCATACAGCAATTTGGCAGCATGGCAGGATACAAACTCAATGCCCAGAAATCAGTGGCATTTCTATACACTAACAATGAGACTGAAGAAAGAGAAATTAAGGAGTCAATCCCATTTACAATTGCACCCAAAAGCATAAGATACCTAGGAATAAACCTAACCAAAGAGGTAAAGGATCTATACCCTAAAAACTACAGAACACTTCTGAAAGAAATTGAGGAAGACACAAAGAGATGGAAAAATATTCCATGCTCATGGACTGGCAGAATTAATATTGTGAAAATGTCAATGTTACCCAGGGCAATATACACGTTTAATGCAATCCCTATCAAAATACCATGGACTTTCTTCAGAGAGTTAGAACAAATTATTTTAAGATTTGTGTGGAATCAGAAAAGACCCTGAATAGCCAGGGGAATATTAAAAAAGAAAACCATATCTGGGGGCATCACAATGCCAGATTTCAGGTTGTACTACAAAGCTGTGGTCATCAAGACAGTGTGGTACTGGCACAAAAACAGACACATAGATCAATGGAACAGAATAGAGAACCCAGAAGTGGACCCTGAACTTTATGGTCAACTAATAATCGATAAAGGAGGAAAGACGATCCACTGGAAGAAAGACAGTCTCTTCAATAAATGGTGCTGGGAAAATTGGACATCCACATGCAGAAGAATGAAACTAGACCACTCTCTTTCACCATACACAAAGATAAACTCAAAATGGATGAAAGATTTAAATGTGAGACAAGATTCCATCAAAATCCTAGAGGAGAACACAGAACACCCTTTTTGAACTTGGCCACAGTAACTTCTTGCAAGATACATCCACCAAGGCAAAAGAAACAAAGCAAAAATGAACTATTGGGACTTCATCAAGATAAGAAGCTTTTGCACAGCAAAGGATACAGTCAACAAAACTAAAAGACAACCTACAGAATGGGAGAAGATATTTGCAAATGACATATCAGATCCAGGGCTAGTTTCCAAGATCTATAAAGAACTTATTAAACTCAACACCAAAGAAACAAACAATCCAATCATGAAATGGGAAAAAGACATGAAGAGAAATCTCACAGAGGAAGACATAGACATGGCCAACATGCACATGAGAAAATGCTCTGCATCACTTGCCATCAGGGAAATACAAATCAAAACCACAATGAGATACCACCTCACACCAGTGAGAATGGGAAAAATTAACAAGGCAGGAAACCACAAATGTTGGAGAGGATGCGGAGAAAAGGGAACCCTCTTACACTGTTGGTGGGAATGTGAACTGGTGCAGCCACTCTGGAAAACTGTGTGGAGGTTCCTCAAAGAGTTAAAAATAGACCTGCCCTACAACCCAGCAATTGCACTGTTGGGGATTTACCTCCAAAGATACAGAGGCAATGAAACGCCAGGACACCTGCACCCCGATGTTTATAGCAGCAATAGCCACGATAGCCAAACTGTGGAAGGAGCCTCGGTGTCCATCGAAAGATGAGTGGATAAAGAAGATGTGGTTTATGTATACAATGGAATATTATTCAGCCATTAGAAATGACAAATACCCACCATTTGCTTCAACGTGGATGGAACTGGAGGGTATTATGCTGAGTGAAGTAAGTCAATCGGAGAAGGACAAACATTATATGTACTCATTCATTTGGGGAATATAAATAATAGTGAAAGGGAATATAAGGGAAGGGAGAAGAAATGTGTGGGAAATATCAGAAAGGGAGACAGAACATAAAGACTCCTAACTCTGGGAAACGAACTAGGGGTGGTAGAAGGGGAGGAGGGCGGGGGGTGGGAGTGAATGGGTGACGGGCACTGGGGGTTATTCTGTATGTTGGTAAATTGAACACCAATAAAAAATAAATTTAAAAAAAGGAAAAAAAAAACAAAAAATAAATAAAAGTTGAGAAGACCAAGAGATGCCCTCATGGGCCCAGCTATGTGGGCAGGAATAAACCACAAGTACTAATGGGTCTCAGAAAACACTGGTCCTGTTCAAAGCCTGAGCAACTGTCCAGATGACAAAGGACTGCTCCCAGCAA